GTGATGATTATGATGAAGCACAATGCCTACAATTTTCTGTGAGCTCTGGGGTGACAGGCAGGCCTCTGAGCCTTAAAAACAATCTTAGCCCAAGGGTGCAGCTGGGTCAGCAGGTTGCATCATTGTGCCCAGGAGGAAGGTACCCATTTCTTATGCCATTTTTCCAGAGTCAGAGACCGCATCTCCTTCCTACTAAGACTGAAGTGGGAGCAGCAGATGGAACTACTTGAGCCCCCTGGTCTAGGAAGGAGAGCCCTCATCTCTTGGGGCCAATTTCCTTCACCTGAGATCAGCTCAATCCTCAAGGACTCTCACATATGTCTAGGTGTCCTGCAGATTAAAACTTTTGTTTATTGAGTTAATTTGCTTTTTTCTTTCTCTCCCTCCTTTTTTTTTTAGACAGAGTCTTGCTCTGTTGCCCAGGCTGGAGTGCAGTGGCACGATCTCAGCTCACTGCAAGCTCTGCCTCCCGGGTTCATGCTATTCTCCTGCCTCAACCTCCGGAGTAGCACGGACTATAGGCACCCGCCAATACACCCGGCTAATTTTTTTGTATTTTTTTTTTTTTTAGTAGAGACAGGGTTTCACCGTGTTAGCCAGGATGGTCTCGATCTCCTGACCTTGTGATCCGCCCGCCTCAGCCTCCCAAAGTGCTGGGATTACAGGTGTGAGCTACCGTGCCAGGCCTTATTGAGCTAATTTTCATCTAAAATTTTAAACTAAATGAAAATGTAATTGAAATACAAACTGTGAGATCAAAATTATATTGAAAGTTCATCTAATTGCAAGATTAAACATTAAGTGAGATTTAGTACCTGTTTCATTTAACATTAAATTGAATTTAAACTGTGAAGAAATGGCCAGGCATGGTGGCTCATGCCTGTAATCCCAACACTTTGGGAGGCTGAGGCAAGCAGATTACCTGAGCCCAGGAGTTTGAGACCAGCCTGGGCAACATGGTGAAACCTCGCTGCTACAAAAAATAGAAAAGTTAGCCTGGAGTGGTGGAGTGCTTCTAGAGTTACAGCTACTCAGGAGGCTGAGGTGGGAGGATCTCTTGAGCCCGAGAGGTAGAGGCTCAGTGAGCTGAGATCGTGCCACTGCACTCCAGCCTGGACAATAGACACCCTGTATGAAAAATAAATAAATAGGCCTGGCACGGTGGCTCACGCCGGTAATCCCAGCACATTGGGATCACCAGGTCAGGAGTTTGAGACCAGCCTGGCCAACATAGTGAAATCCCATCTCTACTAAAAATACAAAAAATTAGCCAAGCGTAGTGGCGGTCACCTGTAATTCCAGTTACTTGGGAGGCTGAGGCAGGAGAATCACTTGAACCTGGAAGGTGGAGGTTGCAGTGAGTTGAGATCACGCCACTGCACTCCAGTCTGGGAGACAGTGCGAGACTCCATCTCAAAAATAAGTAAGTAAATAAACTGTAAAGAAAAGGCCTGTAACATGAATTAACCAATATGGTAGCCACTAGCCATATGTGACTAAGTTTAAAATGAATTAAAATTAAATAAGTAAAAAATCCAACTCCTCAGTCACACCAGCTTGTGGCTATGAGATTGGATGGTGCCAATATAGACCATTTCGTCATTGCCAAAAGTTCTATTGGACAGCACTGCTGTAAACCAATTATGTAGAATGCTCTTAAAGAGTAAAAACCAAACCAAACCAAACCAGAAAAAGTAGAAAGAGACAACCATTAGTTCCTCCTCTGTCCCTCACTCCAACCCCAGGAACTATGCTGCATGGGAATAGAAGAGAGCTCGAGGTGGAAACAGAATTCTTACATTCAGGGAAGAGCACAGAAAAGGGGATTGCAAAAGCTGATGGAGAGAGTGGCCATGACATAGTGGGGAGGGTCTCAGGTCAAGGGCAGAAACGGAAACCATGATGGTATTAATAATAATCTCTGATATTTTTTGACATGCTTACTGTGTACCAACCCTTGTTCCAAGGTATTTACTAGTAAGAGCTTACTTTATCCTAATAGGAGATACCCCTGTGAGGTTGGGACCAGTATTAGTTCCATTTTACACATGGCAAGTAAAACACAGACAGGCTGACTTCCTGCTATCTCACTGTATGGTCAATGTTGTAGGCTCCTTTGCTAAGGGACCATGTAATAATCATAAATAGGCTCAATATCTAAATACTAGACCTCGCCTGGGAGGTCAGCAAGGTCTTGGAAATGCAGGGCTGTTGGCTAGTCTTCAAGAGTGGTCTCAAGACACAGGTCTCAGAGAATTCAGCTGAGAAGGGGTGGGCCCCGGCCTTAGGGTGGGCTCCTCCCTGGGAGCAGACCCCTCCTGGACCTGGAGCCACATTCTTCAGAAGGGCTGTAGAAGGTGCCAGAGTTTGGAGTGGGGCAGGGAACTCGTGTGAACAGGACTCCAGGCTCCCTCCTCATTCCCCTAAGAGCAGGGCCATTTCTGTTTTACAGAATGGATTCCATCCAGGGATGCATTTTGCTTTTGTGGGCCCTCCTCTAGAAAAATATTAAAAATTGTATTTTACAACTCTGTTAATATAAACATGTATAAAATATGGGGTGGATTGTGTTCAGTTTTTTTTTTCTTCTGATTTTAGAAGAAGTTGAAACATTTTTGTGAGTCCTAAAAGTATAACAGGCCTTAGTGCCTCTGTCCATAATGATCCTGCTTCCACTCAAATTTCTTCAGATGAAAAGTTTCCAGGGGTTTCTATCCCTGTGTTCAAAGCCACTGATGGAGACTGAATGAGGGACAAATGAATGAGTCACTGAGGTTGACTTAATGGAGACATCCAAAGTGAAACTTTGGATGATGAGGTTGACATTAAGTCAACCTCAGTGACTCATTCATTTGTCCCTCATTCAATTTCTCGGTACCCCCACATTTCACCAAGCGCCTGGCTTTATTCTTGGGCCTCTGATGAACAAAACATGAACAAACTGCCCTCCCTGTCCCCAGTAATGTTATAGCTACCATGATCCAGCCCCCTCCTTTCAGCTCCCCTTCTCCCTCCCCCAGAGATCACCCTGGAGTTACTCATATTTTAATCATGATTGGATCTGGATACCACCCAAAAGTCATAGGAGTGGCATTTCCTAGAATAAATGGTGAGGCAAGAGGGAGCTGAGGAAACATACAGCCTACGTGTATGGGTTTTCACTACGCTATCTAAAGACTTTAGAAGATGCATCTTAAATTATCTTAGTATTTAGATACTGAGCCTATTTATGATTATTATATGGTCCCTTCACCAAGGAGCCTACAACGTCGGTCACACAATGAGATAGCAGGCAATCAGCCTGTCTGTGCTTTACTTGCCATATGTAAAATAGGACTAACATTGGTCCAAATCTCACAGGGATATCTCCTATGGGGATAACGTAAGCTCTTACTAGTAAATACCTTGGAACAATAACAAGCTCTTACTAGTAAATACCTTACTGTGTTGGTACACAGTAAGCACTTCATAAAATCTCAGATATTATTATTAAGGCCATCATATTATCAATGTGCAATTCTAAACTGATTGTGATAAACTCAAGAAAGCTCAAGGGTATTTCAAAGACTGTATCTGAATCACCTCATCTTCCACCCCCTGGCCTGGCAGAACCACCCCCACGCCACTGTCCCGTTCCTTTCAAAGGCGCCATGGTGTCTATGTTCTGAGGCCTCCTGTCTGAGATGAGAGCAGGGGTCTGGGAATCAGAGAAGCCAGGTTGGGAATATTGGCCTCTGTTATGTTCTGGCTGCGTGACCTGGGGCAAGTAACATCACCTCTCTGGACCCTCATTTTTTCATCTGCAAAGGGGTTAAAGTATCTGTCTTGCTTGGCTGTTGGGAGGGTTAAAGATAACCCTGTCATAAGCTATAGTGCCTGGTATATAATCGGTGTGAAGTAAATTACTATTATTGCTTCCATCATTGTTGTGATCCCTCGTAATTAGGCCAGCAGTGCCAACTCCTTCCTCAGCTTCACCCGGCCTCTTTCCCCCCACACAATGGCATCTTCCTCCAGTGCCCTCCGAAATCTTTAAAAGTATGGAGATGTTGAGGACTCTTGGTGCAGAGGTGAAGCCCTCAGACCATCTCCTCCACAGGGTCCCATGTGAGGAGGAATTGGGCTTGGACTTGGTGGGAAGTTGGGCACCTTCACCTCTCTCTACCCAGGACTCTCCCATGTTTCTTAGGGACCTGAGATGTGACTTCTTCCTTGATTTCTTCCCACAGGGCAAATCGGGCTCCATGAGTATCCACCTCAGACCTGAGGACAAGACCGGAAGGGCAAGCAGGTGAGGAGAGGAGAGGGTGATGGAGAAGGGCTGGGGGTCCCCATAGGGCCAGTGAGTCTGGAAAGGGCCCAGGGTCTCTTTGGAGGGGACCGGCAAGAGAGGGACCCAGCCCAGTCACACAGAAGCCTGGAGATGGAGGCTCCAGCAGGAGGTCTGCAGACCCCACCCAGGACCTGAAGATGATGTTATGGGTAGCGTGGCCATTGGGCACTTCATCTGCCAATCAGAGCTGGCCAATGGGGTGCAGGCCGGGGCGGGCCATGCGCAAAGCTGGGCTTTAATTCCAAGCGCCCACTCCCGCAGCTCCTGCACTTCCAGCTTCTCAGATTTCTTCACCCATGAAATCAACAGCGATGCTGCAAACTTACGGCCAAGGGGTGCCCAATCAGTGGTTGCTTCACTAAGTGCCTGATGAGAGAAGAGACCTCAGAATCAGGCAGGGATTAAATTCCATCCCTGCCCTGAGTACCTGAGCGACCTGAACGCAGTCCCAGTGAGGCTCCCTCACCCGGATGCACCATGGAACCATCAAGTCAGCATGATTAGCACATGCGTCAGCTCAAATATTTAATTTTTTTTGGTGACAACATTTAAACTCCTCTCTTTTAGCTATTTTGTAATACTCAATACATTATTCTGTTATTTGGAACAACACGGATGAACCTAGAGGACATTATGTTGAGTGAAGTAAGTCAGGCACAGAGAGACAAACACTCTACGATCTCACTATATTTGGAACCTAAAATAGTCAACCTCAGAGAACTAGAGAAGAGAATGATGGGTACCAGAGACCGGGGCGGGGAATGTGGACTGATTGGATGGAGAAAGGGAGAGTTTGGTCATCAGGCACGCATTTTCAGTTAGACAGGAGGAATAAGCTCTGATGTCCTGTTGCACAGCATGGAGGGCTGTTAATTCTACAGGAATCAGCCTGGGGCATCTTTGCTGGAGGGGTTGTAAACACTCAAACAGGCCCGAGTCTCTGCAGTTTCTCACTTGGGCATCTTGATCTCGGAGTACTCACAGCCGGTGGCCTCCTCTTCCTGTGGGTCCTGAGGCCTCACTTTGTGGAAACTGAGGAATGCATAGTGGATCTCTTCTTCCTCTGGGGATGGGGCAGCCAGGGCGGGGGGAGCATGGTATGGGTGGCTCTCATCTGCCGGGGATTCAATCAGGAGTCCCTGAATGGAGAGAGAGAAGGGAGTCAGAGCAGAGCAGTGGGGCCAGCATGCACCAGAGAGCGTCCAGGAAGGAGGCCCAGGAGTTCCTTCCTTCATCCATCCCATGTGCACTTTGTTGAAATCTCTTTAATACATTTCTCTAATATTTAATACTCAATTATCACCTTATTTGGTGTTTACTAATCTCATTAACTTCCGACAACAACTCTATGATAAGATATTATTATTGTGTCCATTTTATAAATTTGAAAACTGAGGTAGAAATGGTTAAGTACCCTGTGCAAACTCCCTCTTACACCAGGACCCAATCCAGTCAGTTCCTTCTGACCCCCAAAGTCTGAAGTCCTGCTGAGGCCTCCTGTGTGTGAGTTCCTGAGCCGGGTGCTGGATGGACCATGGTGGACGTGGTGGGCGTGGGCTCTGACCTCCTGCATCTCACTCTTTAACTGAAGGAGGTGGCAATAAATGACTACCAAACAAATGAATATCTATATGTGAATTAAGATGGGCTGGAAGAGGGCAAGCGACAGAGAATTACAGGGCCTTGATTCAGACGTGGCACCTGCCCTTGAGAAGCTCACAGTTTAGTGGTATGGGGAAGACAAGTCAGTAAAATAAATTATATCCTTCTTATAGGAAGATTAATAGCTCCTCCAAAATGTCCATGCCCTAATCCCCTGAAACCTGTGGATCTGCTACCTTACATGGCGAAAGGGGCTTTACAGATGGAATTAGGTTAAGGATATTGAGATGGGGAGATTATCCTGGATTACCTGGGTGGGCCCAATGGAATCACAGGGGTCCTTACAAGTAGTGAAAGGAGGAGGGCATAGATAGATTGGAAGATGCTGGGCTGCTTGCCTTGCAGACAGAGGGAGGGTCTTGAGCCAGGGAATGCAGGTGCCTCTAGAAGCTGGAAAAGTGAGAAAGTGCATCCTCCCTTGGATCCTCTAGAAGGAACTGGCTCTGCCTGCCAATGCCTTGATTTTAGTCCAGCGACACCCATTTTGGCCTTGTGACCTTCAGAACTTTAAGTTAATCCATGTATGCTGTTTGAAGCCAGGAAATGTGTGGCAATTTGTCACAGCAGCCACAGGAAACTAATAACAGACTCACATGGTGGAGAGTGGCAGAGGCTGCCTGGGAGGCTCCTCCTTCATCTCCAAGCTTCCCTGCTACTCCCCTGCACAGCAGATGCTCCATGAAACTATTTGTGATTTCATTCCTTCCCCCATTCTCTCTTGATTACTCAAATTAAAATTCACAGACATAGACCACATCTGAGCACTGCTATTATCAAGGTCACCGTGACCACCACTTGGCTAAGCCTAAATGTCTATCTTGCAGTCTTCTCCTTCCTGGACTTTGCAGCAGCAGAGGACCCAGCTGCTCACCTTCCCTACACAGAAACCCTTCTTGACTTAACTACAGGACATCGTGCTTTCTGGGTCCATCTCACCTTCTTGGCAGCCATTTTGCCAGATGCTCCACATCTCCCTGACCCTAAATATCAGAGCAGCCCTGAGCTCTTCTTTACTTTTGCTTTGAGATCTCATACACTATGTTGTCTTCATGCCGTCAATAAGCTGACGACTTCCAAATTTACACCCAGCTCACTCCCCTCTGCTGACTATAGTCCTTGATCAAATAGTGTACTTCAAACCCACACATTCTTGTCCAAAGGCACACAAAATGCAACATGTTCTATCTGAACTCCTTTTCCCCACCCAATCTCTTTTTTTTGCACAATCTTTTTGGCCTCAATGACTGACACCTCCATTCTACCCATGGCTCAGGGCCAAAATCTGGAAGCCTTCTTGCTGCCTCTCGGTCATTCACATTGTACACCCAACCTATTGGCAATTCCCATAAGTCTAACTTCAGAATTTACCCAGAAGACAGCCATGTCCACCACCGCTGCCATCCTGGTTCCAGCCAGCACCACTTCCTGCTTGGGATGTTCACCAGCCTCCTCTCTATCTTCTCTGCTCTGTCCTTCCTCTACCACACACGGTCTCTTCTGCACACAGCAGCCAGAGGGATCCCATGAAAATGAAAGGTGATCGTGGTCTTTTGCACAAAACTATCCAAATGCTCACGGTGCCCTGTGCAGCCCGACACGATTCACACACAGGCTCAACTTCTCCGAAGCCATTTCCTGTTCTCCGCCCTGCTTGCCTCCGTCTAATCACACAGACATCCTCGTGGATCCTCTCACTGGTCTCTCCTGTGCCTGGGCCTCACCCTGCTCTTCCCTTTGTCTGGAAGGCTCTTCAGTCTCACAGTCAGTGTCAGATCTGAGCCTCCTTCATTCCTGTGCTCAAACATCACTAACAGAAACACAAGTCACCCTACAGAATGGTAGAAAATATTTTCAAGCCATACATCGGAAAAAGGTTTAATATCCAGAATATATATATTTTTAAAAACTCTTAGAACTCAATAACAGAGAAACAAGAAACGCAATTTTAAAAACAGGCTTAAACTCTGATAGACTTTCTCTAAAGGTGATATACAAATCAAAAGAAGCATATGAAAACATCACTACTTACTAGAAAATATAAATCAAAGCCATAATGAGATATCACCTTGCACCTATTAGGATGTCTACTGTCAAAAACAAACAAAAACCAAAAAGTAACAGGCCTTGGTGAGGATGTGGAGAAATAGGAACCCTTGTGTGACATTTGTGGGAATGTAAAATAGTGTAACCACTGTGGAAAACAGTATGGCAGCTCCTTAAGATATTAAAAGATAGAATAATCATGGAGTCCAGAAACCCTACTTATGGACATACACCCAAAAGAATTAAAAGCAGGATATTAAAAAGATATTTGCACGCCCATGCTCACGGCAGCATTATTCACAATAACCAAGAGGTGGAAGCAACCCAAATGTGCATCAACAGATACATGGATAAACAAAATGCGGTAAATAGACACACAACGCAGTATTAATTACCCTTTAAAAAGAAGGAAATCTTGTCATACCTTACAATGTGGGTGAACCTTGAGGGTGTATGTTAAGTAAATTGTCCAGTCACAAGATGAGAGATACTGCATGATTTCACTTACTTGAGGTATCTAGAGTAGTCAAATTCATAGGAAAAGAAAGTAAAATTGGTGGTTTCCAGCAGCTGCAAGAGGATGAGGAGGATGGGAGGGGGAGGGCAGAGTTGTGGTTCAACGAATGTGGAGTTTCAGTTTTGCAAGATAAAAGAGTTCTAGAGATCTAGCACAACCATAAACTTAATAAAGTTTAAGGTGGTATATTATGTGTTATTTTCCACCACAGATGGTTGGATGGATGGATGGATGGATGGATGGACAGATGGATCGTTGGGTGGATGGATGGATGGATGGATGGATTGATGGATGGATGGATGGATGGACAGATGGATCGTTGGGTGGATGGACGGACGAACAGATGGGTGGGTGGGTGGATGGATGGACGGATGGATGGATGGGTGGACAGATGGATGGATGGATGGATGGATGAATAAACAAAAATAAACCCACAAGCCATCTCCTTGGCACTTCCTATTTCTTCTACCTTGCATTTTCCCTAAAGTATGTATCTATCTTTATATTTTATTCATTTGTTGTTTTATTAGTTTTGATTGGTTGATTGGTTTGGCTATATCCCTCTGTATAGAATTAAACTTCAATGAGCCCAAGACTTTTAAATGTTTTCCACAGATGGGTCACTGGCACCTACAGTACTCTTCTCTTAGGAGGTGCTCTCTAAGTTTTCCTGAATAAATTAAGGAATGAAGGGATGGATGTTACTCTGCTACTCGAAACTTTCCACAGGCTTCCAGTCACATTCGATACAATCAATAAATGATGAGTGTAATATTTATATCAGGGCATGAAGGATGAATAGGAATCAGGGAGTGGGGAGAAAAAAAAGCATCTGAGGAGGAGGAACAGCCCATGAGAAGACGCAGAGGCGCAAATAACCTTGTTGGTGATGACACTGGAGTCCAGCATGGATGGAGCATGGAGCAGAGGCAGGAGTGACTGGAGGCGGGGCTGGGATTGGGGCAAAGCCAGGGAGGCCCTTACCCAGAGCACAAAATTAAAAGGGTGCCCCAAATCTCAGCAATGAAGATGAACACAATTTTAACACAATATTTAAAAAATCAAAATTAATATTAAAAAATCCATGGAAAGGCCGGGTGCAGTGGCTTACACCTGTAGTCCCAGCACTTTGGGAGGCCGAGGTGGGCGGATCATCTGAGGTCGGGAGTTTGAGACCAGCCTGACCAACCTGGAGAAACTCCATCTCTACTAAAAATACAAAATTAGCCAGGCATGGTGGCACATGTCTGTAATCCCAGCTACTCGAGAGGCTGAGGCAGAATTACTTGAACCCGGGAGGCAGAGGTGGTGGTGAGCCGAGATTGAACCATTGCACTTCAGCCTGGACAACAAGATCGAAACTCCGTCTCAAAAAATAAGAATAAAAATAAAAATAAAAAATTCATGGAGAACAAAAATTTAAACAAACCCAGATTAGTGACAGTGCTCTGCTGAGCCAAGTGGAGCTTGAGGCAAAAGTTATTCAACATGCAGAGGAACCAGACAGTGATGGCTGTGGCATAGTCCCTCCAGGCAGGGAAGGGGAGGTGAGAGGCAGGGAGGTGAGGAGATCCCAGACAGAAATCCAGAGGCTTCAGCAGTGAGAGGGGTCAGGATGGGATGGGGAGGGCCATGAAAGCTGTTCTTACGAGGAAAAATGGACAGAACATGATTTTTCAGCTGTAGGGGAAGAAAGGAAGGACAGAGAGGAGGTAATCCCCTTCCATGCCTGGCCTGGGAGAAAGCAGGGGGAGAAGGGCTGTTGTTCAATGCTCACTCACCTGAGAGGCCAAGCCCCTGATGGCGTTTGCATCCTCCATGCCTGTATCCCCCACGCCCGCTGCTGGCCTTGCTGATTTCTTCCTGCAGGACCTCACTCTGAGTGAAGAGACCAGAGAGCCTTTCAGTGTGGTCAGATCGGGGTGCAGTGCGCAGACCAACCCCTGCTCTGTATTTCCTACTGGGGAGTTGGAGGGGTAACTGAGGTGGGAGGGGGTGGTCCCATTCCAGAGACCCCAATGTCGAAAACAGAGTCTCTTTTCTCCTGGGGTCTGAGGTTTGCCACAGACGTGGAGCCCCACAAACAAGGGTGCTGGTGAAATTCTCACCGTATACGCATGACCTCATTCTGGCTCTTGCTTCAAGCTCTTGACCCATCCAGGTCCTTCCAGCTCTGGTTTCAGGGATTCTGTTCCTAGCCTGCCCACCCCCAAGGCTCTTCCTCCCTCCCCAGGGTCAATGCTCACACAACAAAGATGACGAAGAAGGACAGGAAGACCAGGACTGTGACTCCAGCTCCCCCGACCGCCTCCAACGTCACTCCTGATACAGGCCTCATTTTGCCTGAGGATGGATTGGAGTTGTTTTGGTGTTTACCCTCCAAGAACTGGACCTCTTCTCCTCCCACTGCCTGTGGGGCCCCAGACTTGGGTATGCCAGTCCCGCTTCACCGACACGAAGAACAAAGACGGGAGGGGACTTCTCCTGAGGTCACTGAGGCATGACAGTGCTGGGTGCAGTCTGCCTTTATTTAAAATTTTGGCCGGGCACGGTGGCTCAAGCCTGTAATCCCAGCACTTTGGGAGGCCGAGACGGGCGGATCACGAGGTCAGAAGATCGAGACCATCCTGGCTAACACAGTGAAACCCCCATCTCTACTAAAAAATACAAAAAAACTAGCCGGGCGAGGTGGCGGCGCCTGTAGTCCCAGCTACTCGGGAGGCTGAGGCAGGAGAATGGCGTAAACCCGGGAGGCGGAGCTTGCAGTGAGCTGAGATCCGGCCACTGCACTCCAGCCCGGGCGACAGAGCGAGACTCCGTCTCAAAAAAAAATAAATAAATAAAATAAAATAAAATAAAATTTTGATTAGTGTTCACCATGGAACTGTTTTGTAATAATTTTTAATTTTCAAAAAGATAATCATATAGCAGTATTATTTCTCTCGCTTGCTGAGTTGTTTTATTTTTGGTTCTTAAATTGTGTGCCCTAAATGAGTGCCTCACTTGCCTCACACTAGTCCAGGCACTGGAAAGCAAGGCCCTTGTCTCCCCAGGCACATCTGTCCAGGCCCCAGCTCCTCCCCTGCAAGATCCGCTCCTTCCCTCTCCCCACCCTGCACTCATTGCTCGGCAGGAAGAAGACAGTGATGCTGTGGGTGGCAGGGAAATTCCACGTCTCCCAGCTGGACCCTGAGGGTGGGGCAGGTGTGTCCTCCTCCTCCAGCCCCTCCCCTACCCACCTGTGTACTCATTTTGCAGGGAGAGGCTCAGGGAAATGTGCTGGGAGCCCAGAGGGTTCTGAGCTCGGCAGGTGAATTCCCCTTCATCCTTCACATGCACTCGAGGCAGCTCCAGCACTCCAGGATTCAAGGGCTGTGAGGGGCACAGGGTCAGGCTCCCTCGGGTCCAGCTCAGCCTGGCAGGCGGATTGCTGTCGACAGCACAGACGAGGTGCAGACACTGGCCCTCCAGGACTGAAAGGGCTGAGCCATTCCTCAAAGTTGTGGATGCTGTAGAGAAAGAGGCAGAGGGTCAGAGACACAAAGTGATCGAGACAGGGAGGAAGGATACAGAAAGAGACTGGTGAATGGAACAGACACTGATACGGGCTGAACTGTAGGGACATACGCACGTTCACCGCTCACTGTTGGGGATGTAAACTTGTCCGCCTTTAATTAGAACAATTTCACTATATCTTTAAAAATCAGAAAGAGCATATGACTCTGCTATATTTTGCTTTTAGGAATTTATCCCGTACACTTAGATATTCCTTGTGGGAGTAGATACAACATTATTCATTGCAGTGTTCGTGCTGTAGGATAAAATTAGTGCCATGATCTTCCATTAGAAGATGCCACAAAATCAGAGACTATTCAGACAGTGGAATCACACACAGCCCTAGAGGAGGGTGTGAACAGTCTCACTACTGACGTCAGACCACCTCTGAGATCCTCCAGGTGCACAAACCAAGGCTCAGACCAGCCTGGACAGACCCTGGTCAATTCTGGGGACAGACTCTGCTGTGCATTATACATTTTTGTCCATGTGACTATAGTATGTGTCCAAAAGAATGTAGCTCAGAACTATTGGTGAAAATAAAAGGACGAGGTAGGATGCATACTCAGGAACTGGAAGATAAGGGACCTCAAAGCCTTGTGCTGCTGTGTGAATGTCCCTCTGCCCTTGTCACGAGACCAAAATAGGGGTGTGTGGAGTTCAAGGGGAGTGAGGGGGTGACGAGAAGGTACTCAGGTGGCCACGGGGCTGAGGATCGGGGATGGGGCACCGGGGCTCACACACAAGGGCGTCTTAGGTCACCAGGGTGAGTTCAGGATGAGGAGGGACCTGGCTCTCCCCTGAGCTGAAGGCTCTGCTCCTCCAGCCCCAGGGAGGGAGCTCTGTCCCACCTGTGCCATCTCCTTGGAAGACAGTCACGGTCAAGTTCTGAGGAGGGTCTGGAACAGAAAGACACAGAGACCCCATCACTTTGAGGGCTGGGGACACCGGCCGTGTCTCTCCAGGAACCCCATAAATGGGGAAGGTGGAGCCAGCATCCTCCTGACCCCCAATTCCCAGCCCAGATTCCAGGACCCAGATCCTTGTGTCTGGGTCCCACATCCAACTGGCCTCAGGGAATCCCAGTCAGGGACCCGGGCGTCCTGGCCCAGAACTCACAGGATACGTTGAGTTGGACAGTCCTGGTTGTGGTCATGCCGGCCCCAGGCAAGGTCACGTGACAGGTAAGGCTGGTGCCGTGGTCCTCAGGCTTTGGGATGAGACTGAGCATCGAGGAGCGGGTGATAGTGGGGTCCAGGGAGAACACAGAGGCCCCCATCCAGGTGATCATGGGGGCCGTCCCCAGCTCACAGGCCCAGGGCACAGAGCAGGTCAGGTTCCTGGGCTGGCCAGCTTCCAGGGTCCCCGGGATGGAGAAGGCAGGCATGTGAGTCAGGGCTGGTAATGAAAGGGAGACAGGCAAAATAAGGGTGTTGGGGTCTGAAGTGTGGCACTGAGGAGGCTCAGGCTCTGGTCTTACCTCTCCCCTGAGCCAGACATGCTTCACCCCCAACTCCTTCCCAGGATGGGGATCCCATCTCAGCCCTACTCTGTGGCCCCTAGACCTTCCACTCTGGCTGGTCCTGGAGCCTGAGACTTTCGTGTCACACGGACAAATATATAGTTGTCATATATATAGTTCCATTTCCTGCTTCCTCTCTCCAGCCGGAAGTAGTAGTTCCCTGAATCCCCCTTCCTGTCATCTCTGATGCTCAGGGAGCAGTTGTTGGTCTGTGGGTCCCCAAGGAGGAGGAATCGGCCCTGGGTTTCCTCCTGCACTTTTCCACTTGGGATGTTTGTGGCCACCGGAATATCACATAGTATATGGGCCCCTTTCTTGAACCAGTATCCATAAACAGGGCTAGAGTCAGTCCAGTTGTAATGGGGGTAAAGGACACTGCAGGGCACAGAGACACACAGGCCCTCCTGCACGGTCACCGACTCTGGCACCTCCAGCCTGTATCTTGACAGTAGGGCCTGGGACGCTGTGGAGAAAGGAGGGTCAGCTCAGCCCAGTCCCCACTGTCCCTCTCTTCATTTGCCCATAGCAGCGGCAGCAGCATCTCTGAGGCAGAGGCTTCCTGGGCTCCCTGTATGAGCAGAGAAGGGGGAGGGAGAGGAGGGGCAGGGCTATGAGATCCATCAGGAGCTGGAAAGGAGCAGGAGACCTCAGCCCTGCATGGAAGAGAAACTTCAGACCCACACGCTATAGGACCTGGTTCCTTCTGCACAGAGTGAAGGAAACCCTAAAGCTCAGAGACCCTAGAGACCCACCCAGGGAGGAGCAGAGACTGTGTCCCACCTCCCACCTCTGGGCTTCCCTGGAGCACTAGGGCCTGCACCAGACATGTGGGCCCTGCCCTCCTGGCCTCTGGACCATCGTGGAGGTCCCCCCCTGTCTTTTGAGTGTCTAAATGTGGATCTCCGAGGACCTCAGGGTATGAGAGATGGAGAGGTCATGAGCTGAGTCCCCTTGCCCAGGCTCAGGTGCCTCTGCTGCCCTTGGTTTGCACCAGGAAATTGTCCCTCCCTGGCCTGGCCTGAGAGAGTCACAGGGTTGTGTAGACCTAAGGCTCTCAACTGGGGAGGACTTAATCCCCCAGGAGGTTTGACAATGTGTGGAGATACTTGTTATTGTCCCACTGCATGGGTGGGGCAGGTGCTTCTGGCATCTGGTGGGGAGAGGCCTGGGATGCTGCTAAACCCCTGTCATGCCCAGGACAGGTCCTGAAACTAGGAGTCATATGGCCCCACATGCCACAATGCCAGTGTCAGAGCAGGATGAGGATGTCAGGACTGTGGGTCAGGGATGGTGAGGGGAGGGCTTGCAGGATCAGGAGGGGCATCCGAGGTGCGGTCCTGGAGAAGCTCAGGCTCTGGTCCAGCCCCTCCCCTGAGTTTATCACCCCCGGCTCCCTCCCAGGACATGTGTCCCATCCCAGCCATGCCCGAAAGTCCCCATCACATTTGCCTTTGGCCTCTCATGGAGCCCGTGCCTTACCTGTCACATGCACAGAGAGCGGGACATAATTATAATTCCATTTTGTCTTTCCTGTCTCCACACGAAAGAAGTACTTCCCTGCATCACTGCTTCTGGCATCTCTGATGCTCAGGGTGCAATTCTTGGTCTGTGGGTCCCCAAGGAGGTGGAATCGGTCCCGAGTCTCCTCCCGCACTGCCCGAGCTGGGTTGTTTGTGGCCACTGGAGCATCCCGGTCTGTATGGGACCCTGCCCAGAACCAGTAGCCATGAACTGGATCGGAGTCATTCCAGCCATTTTGGGGGTAGGAAAAGGAGCAAAGCACAGAGACACACAGGCCCTCCTGCACCGTCACGGACTTCTGCATCTTCAGCTGGTAATCATTCTGTTTGTTAGCTGCCACTCTCCCACAGAGCAGGGGTGGCAGCAGTAGCAGCAGCAGTAGCATGTGTTGGGTTGGAGGTGCCAGGATCTCTGAGGTAAATCCGTTCCTCAGGGTTCTTCTCTCATGAACTGAGAGCTCAAGATTTAGAGGAGGCCCCACAGGAAGTTGGGAGTGAGGTCAGAACAGTGACCTCTCCAGAAGAGGAACTTCACACCAGACACTGTCAGGGCCGGGTCAGCCCTGGGAGATCCACTGTCCACTACCCCATCCACTTCTGGGGACGCTGAGGCCAGAGAGGGTGAAAGATTCACCCAGATTTCCACCCCATGTAGGACCCATGGCACCCACTGCCTCCCTCTCAATGCACTTCCCTTTAGGTGATATTTTTGACAAGGTGAAAATGAGTACCCTCTGACCAGATCTCTTACTCAGTCTGTGGATGTCTGTGTAGGTCGGAGGTGAGACTATAGGATATAAGAGATGGAGGTGCAGGTGGGATAAGCAGGCAGCCTCTCCTCACTCCCTCAGCAGCCACGAGGTGGAGGGGGGCTCCCCGTCTCTGTACAGTGAGTTCAACACAGCAGAGCTAGACGCTGTCCCCAGAGTTACTGTGTAGTGGGGAGACACTGACGTTCCTGGTGTCTGAGCTGTCCATGGCAGGAGCTTCAGTGGGGATACCAGGCAGGGTGTGGTCGCACTCTTCTAGGTCAGGGAAACAGTCTCAGGAGGACTGAGCAGAGAGACACGGGGTTGCGGAGGTGAGGATTCCGTGTGTTGATACACGTCAAGGACACAGACAAGAGGCTAGTTTGCAGGAGGCCTGGGAAACTGAGACTGTGACTGTGGTACAGTGGGGTCTGGAAGGGAGGAACATCGGAAAGGAAGGGTCAGATTTCTAAAGGGGCAGATGTTCCTTTCTCCGTCATGATTCTCTGGGCAACAGATGGATTCCTTCACCACTGCTGTCTCACAAGTCCTCGTTACTCCAGAGCACGAGGGGTCTGCCAGCTCCCGGGGCTTTGTTCCTGCAGGCTCTGCTCCCAAGGGTTCATGTTTACAGGAGACGTGAGGGAGCACACCAGCCCTGGCGCGTCCACTCTTAGTGATGGGCAGGATTTCATGGGAGAAGAAATGGACCTGAATTCAACAGAAGATTACTTGAAACTGTATGGTATGTGCTGGGAGGAAGGTGGAGAAAATCCTGCAAGGTTCTCCCTCCTTAGAACCATGTCAGCTTTTCTGAAACGTTTTTTGGGGGAAATGTAATACAAATAAATAAAAGTACCACCTAAAAAATGACTCAGTGATTTTCACGAAATGAACACTGTTCAAGAAACACAACTTCACAAGGTAATTGTCAAGTCTCTCCCATGAGATGAAGAAAGAAATTGCATTCATTTATTCAGCCCTGTGTTTCCCCTTCCCATGGGCCACACCCACTCCCTCTTGAAGGAGCCCCAGACTCACTTTGATGCTAATGGTCTCCTTGCTTTTCTACGTATTTTATCATCTGAGTGCACTGCCTTGAATACTACGGCTTTGCATAGGTTTTTCTAAAGACTTTTTTTTTTTTTTTCACAGAAAATCACAATCTGTTTTACTTTACTTAGCTTCATGGATCTTCTCAACCCCATGTTGTCCCCTAATTGCCCATAATCTAGAGTAGATTTAGTCTGCTGTGATAATTGAAAAGGAAATGTGCAGGATTGGGGCATGCATAGCTGCTCCTCTCCCTGACACCACTAATTCCTGCATTCACAGCTGGTATCTCATCCTGCACACCAATCTGCTCCTGGGCCCCCATCCTTGCCCCTGTCACTTTCTTCCTATGAGAGCAGTTGCAGCATCTCAGTGACAGGAAGGGCTGGACCATGACTCATCTCTTTCCCACGGTCCCCAATTGGCAAAGAAAAGCAGAATATGGGAAGGAAGGACATGAGGAAGCCACAGAGAATCTGTGCAAAGGAAGAACATATGAACCACACATGACACAGAGGAGTTGATGGGTCCTCTAGTCCCTTTTCCACAATTTGGAGAGGAAGATATGAAGGTCTAGAGTGACAAGTTCTACGGCTGTATGTGTCTCCTCAAAATTTGTTTGTTGACGCTGGAACCTCCATGTGATGGTATTAGAAGGCATGGTGTTTGGGTAGGTGATTAGGATTCGTCTAATAGGATTAGAGCCTGATATGGTTTGGATCTGTGTCCCAACCAAATCTCATGTGGAATTGTAGCCCTTGATATTGAAGGTGGGGCATGATGGGAGGTGGTTGGATCATGGGGCTGGATTTCTCATGAATGGCTTAGCACCATCTTCTTGTTACAGTTCTTGTGATAGTGGGTGAGTTCTCACAAGATCTGGTTGTTGACCGTGTGCATCATCTCCCCATTTGTTCTATCCTGCCTGTCTGGTCATGTGACAAGCTGGTTCCCCCTTTGTTTATTGCCATGACTGTAAGTTTCTTGAGGACTCCCCAGAAGCCAAGCAGATGCCAATATCATGCTTGCTGTATGGCCTGTAGAACCATGAACCAATTAATCCTCTTTTCTTTATAAGTTACCCAGTTGCAGGTATTTCTTTATAGCAATAGGAGAATGAACTAATACAGAAAATTGGCACAGAGGAGTGGGGCTTTGCTTTAAAGACACCTGAAAATTTGAAAGCAACTTTGGAACTGGGTGACAGGCAAAAGTTGGAAGAGTGTGGAGGGCTCAGAAAAAGACAGGAAGATGAAGGAAAGTTTGAAACTTCCTAGAGACTGGTTGAATGGTTATGAGTGAAATGTTGATAGTGATACAGACAGTGAAGGCCAAGCTGAAGAGGTCTCAGATGGCAATGAGGAACTTATTAGAACCAGAGTAATCGTCCCTTTTGCTATGCCTTAGCAAAGAAAGGCTGCACTGTGCTCCTCCCCTAGGAATCTGTGGAGCTTTGAGCATAAGAGTGATGATTTGGAGTATCTTGTGGAAGAAATGTCTAAGGAGCAAAGCATTGAAGTCATGGCCTGGCTGCTTCTAACAGCATATGCTCATGTGTGAGCAAAGAAAGAAATCACCAAAAGCTGGCCCTTATATTGAAAAGGGAATAGAATGTAACAGTTTGGAAATTTTGCAGCCTGGACATGTGGCATTAAATAAAAGCCCATTTTCAGGGGAGGAATTCAAACAGCCTGCAGAAATTTGCATAAGTAAAAAAGAGCCAAGTGTTAATAGCTAAGACAATGGGGGAAAAGTCCTTGAAGCCATTTCAGAGACCTTCATGGTAATCCTTCCCATCACAGGTCTGGAGGCCTAGGAGGACAGAATGGTTTTGTGGATCAGGTCCATGGCTCTGCTGCCATGTACAGCCCCAGGAAACTGCTTCCTGCATCCAACTGTGGCTCAAAGAAGCCCAGGTACAGCTTGGGCTGCTGCTTCGGAGGGTGCAAGACATAAGCCTTGGTGGCTTCTATGTGATGTTAAGCCTGTGGGTGCACAGAATGCAACAATTGAGGCTTGGGAACCTCTACCTAGATTACAGAGGATGTATGGAAAAACCTCAATATCCAGGCAGAAGCCTGCTGCAGTAAGGGACCCTATCCCGGCCCGCGGGATAGTCGAAGCAGGCCCTGGAGGAGGGGGTGGGAATTTGGGGAACAAGAGATACGAGAAATGGAGACAAGACAGTGCTCTGATCAAGTCTCGTTTAATGGCGGTAATGCAGTGCCTTATATACACTTGGAGGGGAAGGGGTTGGGCCAAGGCGAAAATGATCTCATAGTGGAGGCATGGCCAGATAGGTATTGGTTTCTCTGGTCGAACGTCATGTTGCACCTGCGCTGTCAGGTAGTAATTTTCACGGGCGCGGGAAAAATGGGTGAAGAAGAAGCAGGAAGAGCGCCATCTTTTATGAGGTATTAATACAGGGAAAAAGGTAAATCTAGGGAGGAGGTAGAAGGTGGAAATGAATAGAGCTCAGGCGTTTTTAATCGTCAGTTATTATTTGCTATGGCCGGGGCGTGCAGCTCCGGACAGGACCCCTCATGGAAAACCTCTGCTAGGGCAATGAAGAGGGGAAATGTGGGATTCGAGCTTCCACAGAATTCTCACTGGGATACTGCCTAGTGGAGCTGTGAGGAGAGGGCTACCATCCTCCAGACTTCAGAATGATAAATCCACCATCAGCTTGCACCTGGAACCTGAAAAGCTATGGGCACTCAGTGCCTGCTCTTGAGAGCAGCTGTAGGGGCTGAACACCACAGGGGTGGAGCTGCCCAAGTCCTTGGGATCCCATTCTTTACATCCGTGTGCTCGGGTGTGGGTCATGGAGTCAAAGAAGATTGTTTTGGATCTTTAAGATGTAATGACTGTCCTGCTGGATTTCAGACTTGCATGGAGCCTGTCTCCCCTTTCTTTTGTTCAACTTCTCCCTTTCGGAATAGGAGTATTTACCTAATGCCTATACCCCCATTGTAACTTGGAAGTTACTAACTTGTGTTTGATTTTTACAGGCTGATAGGTGGAAGAGATGAACCTTTTCTGGGGTAAAATTTTGGACTTTGGACTTTTGAATTAATGCTGGAATGAGTTAAGACATTGGGACACTGTTGAGAAGGGATGATTGTATTTTGCAGTGTGAGAAGGACGTGAGATTTAGAAGCTGGGGGAGAGGGAATGATATGGTTTGAATCTGAATACTCAAAAAATATCATGTTATAATGTGTGGTACAAATGTACAAATGTATCATGTAATAAAGGTTAAGATGGTAAATTTTATGTAATGTGTTATTTTCCACCATAGATTGTTGGATGGATAGATGGATAGATGAATAAACAAAAATAAACCCCGAACCATCTTCTCAACATTTCCTCTCTCTTCTACCTTGCATTTTCTCAAAAGTATGTGTCTATCTTTTATATTGTATTCGTTTGTTGTTTTATTAGTTTTTTGATTGGTTGATTTGTGTGGCTATATCCCTTTGTATAGAATTAAACTTCATTGAGCCCAGCACCTTTTTTGTTTGTTTTGTTCTGAGATGAAGTTTTGCTTTTGTTGCCCAGGGTGGAGTGCAATGGCACAATCTTGGCTCACTGTAACCTCTGCTTCCCAGGTTCAAGTGATTCTCCTGCCTCAGC